GCAAGGACGGGGCCACTGAGGGCAGCAACGGGGCCACGAAGGGCAGGAAGGGGGCCACGAAGGGCGACAGCGGGGCCACGAAGGGAATGCATATGGGGCCACCGCGGGCGCGAACGAGCGGGGGCCACGAAGGGCATACATATACGGGGCCACGAAACGGAGCGAGGGGGCCACGAAGGGCAGCGGGGGGCCGCGAAGGGCTGCAACGGGGCCACGAAGGGCTGCGACGGGACCACGACGGCCAACGAGGGGGCCACGAAGGGCTACAACGGGGCCACGAAACAAAGCGAAGGTGCCACGAAGGGCTGCAACGGGGCCACGAAGAGCAGCGAGGTGGTCACGAGGGGCTGCAACGGGGCCGCGAAAGGCAGCGAGAGGGCCACGAAGGGCTGCAACGGGGCGGCGACGGGCAGCGATATCCCGATTGTTGGGTAATCTGTGAGGGAGTCCTAAATGTGAGCGCGACCCCTGGGTGCCTGGGTGTCGGGAGCGCGGCGCTTGAATGAATTGCAAGAATTTCCAACGCAAGGACGCTATTCTTTGGTAAATTGCAAGCGAATCTCCAGCGAGACCGCGACTCCAGAACGCCGGGAGATCGATTCCTGAAAAAATTGTAAATTATAAGGAACTCCCAAGCGAGAGCGCGATTCCTGAATAAAATGCAAGGATGTCTCGGGCGGGAGCGGGGGTCCTGGCTAAATTGTGAGGAAGTCTCCGGCGGGAGCCGTTGTTGTTGTAACCCGGGGGCCAACGACACACTTTGACCCTCAAGACTGTCCCTGATAATAACAGGGTGCGAGCCCAGGGAAGGGCACTTCAATCGAGAAAAAACAGTGTGCACTGGACGGGGCGGACCGACAATAATTATTCTTCAGAAATGAGAATTCAACGAAATCAGTAATTCTCTGACTGTTCGCTCTTACCAAATCGAATGTCACTTACCGAATATTTCCAAAACCCGCGATACCCGCCCTCTTCGTCTTCGATCGTACCCACTTGGGGGTAGAACTATCGTTCTTCCCTGCAGGCCACGCCCCGGCAAGCGGCGGGGCGGCCGCGGACCGTCGGCCTGGCCAGCGGCAGCGCTCATCGGCGGCAACCCGACCCCAAGAGGGACGGACAGATGAGCGACCACGACAAAGACGATGACGACGACAACAACGACGTCGACGACGACGACGACGTCGAGGACGGCGACGACGACGACGAACGAAAGCGAGAGCGAGAGAGAGAGAACGACACGAAGGGCACGAAGTAGGCCACGAAGGGCGACAGCGGGGACACGAAGGGAATGCGAATATATGGGGCCACGAAGAACGCGAACGAGCGGTGGCCACGAAGAGCAGATAATGCGGGGCCAAAAGGCAACGACGAGGCCACTGAGGGTAGCAACTGGGCCACGTAGCACAGCGAGGGGGCCACAAAGGGCGACAGCTGGGCCACGAAAGGCATGCGCATGGGGCCACGACGGGCCCGAACGAACGGGGGCCACGAAGGGCATACGTATACTGGGCCGCGGAGGGAGGGCAAGGACGGGGCCACTGAGGGCAGCAACGGGGCCACGAAATGCAGCGGGGGCCACGAAAGGCGACAGCGGGGCCACGAAGGGAATGCATATGGGGCCACCGCGGGCGCGAACGAGCGGGGGCCACGAAGGGCATACATGTATGGGGCCACGAAACAAAGCGAGGGGGCCACGAAGGGTTGCAACGGGGCCACGAAGGGCAGCGAGGGGGCCACGAAGGGCTGCAACGGGGCCACGAAGGGCAGCGATGGGGGCCACGAAAGGCTGCAACGGGGCCACGAAACAAAGCGAGGGGGCAACGAAGGGCTGCAACGGGGCCACGAAACAAAACGAGGGGGCAACGAAGGGCTGCAACGGGGCCACGAAACAAAGCGAAGAGGCCACGAAGGGCTGCAACGGGGCCACGAAACAAAGCGAGGGGGCCACGAAGGGCTGCAACGGGGCCACGGAACAAAGCCAAGGGACCACGAAGGGCTGCAACGGGGCCACGAAACAAAGCATAACAAAGCGAAAGGGACACGAAGGGCTGCAACGCGGCCACGAAACAAAGCGAGGGGGCCACGAAGGGCTGCAATGGGGCCACGAAACAAAGCGAGGGGGCCACGAAGGGCTGCAACGGGGCAGCGAAGGGCAGCGAGATCTCGATTCTTAAATCATCTGTGAAGGATCCCTCAGCGTGAGCGCGACTCCTGGGTGCCTGAGTGTCGAGGGCGCGACGCTTGGGTAAATTGCACGAAATTCCAACGCAAGGACGCTATTCTTGAGTAAATTGCAAACAAGTCTCCAGCGAGAGAGCGACTCCAGAGCGCCGAGAGAGCGATTTCTGAATAAGATGTGAGGAAGTCCCAAGCGAGAGCGCGATTCCTGAATAAAATGCGAGGATGTCTGCGGGAGCGGGGCTCCTGGCTAAATTGTGAGGAAGTCTCCAGCGGGAGCCATTGTTTTTGTAACCGGGGGGCCAACGACACAGATTTAGCCTCAAGACTTTCCCCAATAAAAAGCCGGGTGCGAGCGCCGGGAGGGGCACTTCAATTGAAACAAATACAATGTGCACCAGACGGGGGATCAAGAATAATATTCTTCAGTAATGAAAGCAACAACGACAACAACAACAGCACCAGCAGCAGCAGCAACACCAACAGCAACAACAACGACAATCATTTTAAGACTGTTCGCTCTTCCTTGGTCGCGTGCCACTCAACACGTATATCCCAAACCCTCGGAGCCCGCCCTCTTCGACTTCGATCGTACCCCCTTCGGGGTGTACCTTTCTCAACTGCAACGTGTATTTCGTGCAGCCTCTGCGGCTGGGAAAGGAGAGGGCGGATGGAAGGAAGGGACAAGGGGGAGGGAGGAAGAGAGAGGGAGGAAGATGGAGCATGCGGGAAAATCACAGGAGGGGGGCTAGCCAAAACGGGCTCGTCGAATACAGCAATACTAATTGTTTAACACATAAGGTCCAACGGCAAGAACAACAACAACCATTGCTAGACTGCTCGCTCCTGTCTGATCGCGTGCCGGTCAACACTTATATTCCAAACCTTCGATACCCACCCTCTACGTTTTCGATCGTAACACCATTGAGGGTATATCTTCCTTACATGCCATGTGCATGTAGCGCAGTCCCTAAAACAGGGGAAGAGAGGACGGATGGAAGGGAGAGGGAGAGGGATGGAGCACGAGAGAAATTCGCAGGAGGGGGCTAGGAGCAGATAACACATGGCAGAACCAGGCGTGCAGGTTTGGCGGGCAGGCCCTAGCGGGCGGGTCGGAAGGCGGGCCCAGGCGGCCAGGTCGAGTAGGCGGGTTGCTGAAGCGTGAGTCTGGATGATTTGCAAGGGAACCTCAAGCGATAGCGCGAATTCCACATAAGTCGCGAGAAAAACACAGACGAAAACGTTACTCTGAGTGTCGAGGGCGCGGCGTCTGATTCAATTGCGAGGAAGTCTCAGGCGAGACCGCGATTTCTGCATACACGCCGGTCGGAAGAAGTGGATAGGAACATGAAGTGGGAAGACGTTGAAATAGATTGGACTTCCGCCCGCCCCCTGAGGAAGCGGGAAGAAGGAAACCAGTCGATCCCTGAAGTAGGAAGGCGCCCAAAGTAGATTGGGATCTGGGAGTCCAGAAATACCTACTTTCAACGACTGGCGTTCAATGTGAGGATGTCCCGCGCGACATCGCGCTGTTGGGTTCTTTTGTGAAGGAGTATCATGCGGAAGCCGTTGTGTAAGTTCGGGGCACAATGACCCAGTTTGAGCAAGGAGACTTTCCCTGATAAACAAGGTGCACTGGTGTGGGGGGACACTACAATTGAAAAACACAATGTGCACTGGTGTGGGGGGATCAACCAGAAAATACTTCAACAATCAAGTTCCAACAAGCGATCCCGCCTGACTGCTCATCATACGTTATTGATATACGCGCTCTCGCGCTGAATTTCCTTACGCATTATTATATGGAATCGCGAAACCGCTTAGCACTTCCTTGCAAACTGTTGCAGCGCCGCGCCCCCAAGCACTCAAAAAAAACGCTCTCGCTTTGGCCTTCCTGACGATTCACTCGGCACTGGGGAATCGCGCTATCGGTCCAGACTTCCACACGATTCATCTAAGACCGACGCCTCAGCGAACCCGCCCACTCGACCCCGCCGTCTGGGTCCGCCCGCCCGACCCGCATGTTAGGGTCCGCCGACTCGACCCGCCTTTTAGGGTCACCGGCCCGACCCGCCCGTCTGGTTGTACCGTTTGTTTTTCTGCTTCTGACCCCCCTCCTGCTGATGTCCGTTCCATCCTTCTCACTCCCCATTGTCGATTCCATCCCCCATTCCCTTGTTGTAGGGACTGTGCCATCTACACGTGGCAGGTAAGGAAGCTATACCCCCTACTTGTAAGGCACAATCGAAGGCGACGAGGGCAGGTATAGAGGGCTTGAGCTATAAATGTTGATGAGTGGCACGCGAGCAAGTAAGAACGAACAATCTTAAACTGATTGTTGCTTGGGGGCTTGTTCGGGCGGCAGCCCGAAACGCTTGAGCGTGAGCCTCAGATTCGAAGGAAATGCAGCCGACGCCAAGGCGAGAGCGCCTCGTCGGATATAGGCGATCCAAGAATAACGACTGTTTGGTACGTAATCGATCTTTAACGACACCAACAGCACAACAGCATCGTCGCACTTGGCTCGATGCGGGGGTCCCCGGAACGCTTCCCGCGCCAATGCGTGCTAGCTCTGAATTGCCTTCTGGCGCGAGGCCACGCGGGCATCCGCAGCCGCGCTGGCCGACGAGCTTGTGCGCTAGGTGCTGACATGTGCTGGCTGGGGCGGGTGGCTGGCCATGGCACCACGATGCGCGATGCGGCTCCGAGTCGTCGCGGTGCAGTGCCACCTCGCCCCTGGCTTGGCTGTGTCCAGAAGTGCCGAAACTCTCAAGTCTTGGAACTGCGCGGCCGAGCGCCTCTCCCTCGGGCGCGGGGGCCTGCGAGTAGAACGCGTCCGACAGCAGGGAGCTTCGCAGGTGGGCCTGGTGTATCTGGGACGTGGACGAGCCTGGGGGGCGAGGCAGGGAGGATGACTTTGACGTCAACGGCCCTCCGCCCTCCTCCCTCCCTCCCTCCCTCCCTCCTCCCTCCTCTCTACTCCCAGGACGGGGGGGGGTGAGGGAGGGGACGGAAGGTTTCAGGAAGAATTGCAGAAGGGAGGGAGGCGGGGGAGGGGAAGGACAATTTGGGAGAGGTTTTGGCCCGGGTGAGGAAAGCGCCCCTGCTCCAATCGGCTTACAGGCCCGCGCGGTGCATCAGGTATTCCTCGTCTCTCCTCTTCCCCCGCCTCATCCATCTCTCTTCCTTGCGAATCCGCCGACCCACGCTTGCCGCGGGTGACAAGGCGTGTGAAACATTAGACAATTACTCAATATGAAAATACTCTCCCTCTTCCCCTGATGGCGTACGGGTGATGGCCGCGCACCCTCCGCGTACTCTTTTTTTACACACAAGATGCCCGGGAAACCCCGGGAAACGACTCTCGCTGAGGCGCCGGCGTCATTTTCGGGCCGAACGCCCCCCGCGCACTGATTTTTTAACCTCAGGATTCCCGGGAAACGGGTTTTCGCCTGCGTTTCTTTGTAAAATGATGCTCTCGCTGAGGCGCCGGCCTCATTTCTGCTTCCGAATCGTTCCGAAGCGTGCTCCTGCTGCAGCGTGGGCCTCATTTTCGGATCGGTGTTTGGCCTCCGTCGTTCAGGATGGCGTTCTCGCCCCAGCGCGGGCCTCTTTCTCGCGCGCCCATCCGCCCGCCACCACCGCGCTGCACCACCACCACCACCACCCCCACCAGCACCACCACCACCACCACCACCATCACAACCATCACCAGCACCAGCACCACCACCAGCACAGCACCAGCACCAGCACCAGCACCAGCACACAGCACCAGCACCACCACCACCAAAACCACGCACACACGCACGCACGCACGCACGCGCACCACCACCCACTACGCACGCGCGCGCGGAGCCACAGGTCCGCTACGACACGCGTCCGCGGATAGAGAAAATCAGCGCCATGGTAAGGGATGGGAGGGAGGGGTAGGACGTCAGATATGACGCGAGCGCACCTAGCTTGGCTGTCCCCCTCCCCCTCCCCCTTCCCCCCCTCCTGGGGTCCAAAATGTCATTCTTAGTGCGGGGCACGAGCTCGTCAACGCACTGCCGACGACTCCGGAGCCCCCAAAAAGCCCCAAGACAGCCCAACAGGGCCCAGACAGAGCGCCAAGACAATCGAAGACAGCGTCATGACGGCCCAGGGTATCCCCACGGCGATCCAAGATGGCTTCAAGATTGCTCACGAGGCCGCCAAGACACCCCAAAAGCGCTTCCAGAGGATCGCCGAGAGGGCCCCAATGGGCCAAAACCATTCCATTCCCTACGGGGAAACGTACATCGTCAGCACATTCGCAATTGACGCTTTGACAGCGAACACGACGGCCCAAGTGGCCCCAAAGATCGTCCCAAGACGGCCCATGACGCCTCCAAAAAGGCCTCAAGACGGCCCAAGAGGGCCCAAAGACAGCCCCAGGGGCCCTCCAAGACGGACTAAGATAGGCCCCGGAGGGCCCGAAGAGGACTCCAAGAAAGCCTCAGAGGGAGAATACGAAGTGACATTTCGAGCGAGATGGCTCCTCGAGCCCCCAGAGGCCCCCGAGGCCCCTTCAAGAGGCCCCACCAGGCCCCCAAGACGCCCACAAGAAGCCCCCCAGGCCCCAGAGGCCCCCACGAGGCCCGAAAAAGCTTCCCACATGCCCCCAAAAGCCCTCCAAGAGGCCCCGTGAAACACCTCAAGAGCTCCTCACACGTATCCAAGAATCTCCTGACCCAAGATAGAGCTCCCACGATCATCTCAAGCACTCACTCCTTGTGGGGGTCGACGAAACGGCGTAAGCCACTTGAATAACTTTCCCATGTGGCGCCCCCAGATGTTTCGGTGATGCGGGCTGGGAGTTTAGCCTAAGACTTCCTTACAGAGTATGATCCTAAAGCTTGGAAGATTCAGCAGCCTCAAGGACGCAAGGCGGGTGGTTTTCAAGGTTCCGCAATCAGACATGCCTAATGATTGGTGTCTCAGGGTGCTACTTTGCCCGTTCCTCGGAGGTCGGGTTCCTCGGGCTCCCCGCCCTCGGTGTCCCGGGGTGCTACTTTGCCCGTTCCTCGAAGACTCCTCGGGCTCCTCGCGTTCGCCAAGCAATGCCTAGCAACGCCAAGCACTGCGCCCGTGCAATAGGAGCACTGAACAGAACAGCCGCGCCCGGACGGCGCATCGGCGGGAGATGTGCACACGCATACCGCCGGCCACCACGTGCAAGTTGAAACTTTCCTCTAAGCGAGGTTGCGCTGGGTTCATGTGGCTCTCGCTTGAGCCCCACGCGCAGTTGTTTAAACAGTTTAGCAGTGTAACGGATGAAAAGGGGGGGCGATTTCAATCTGAGGCTCTCGCCCTGGCGCCTAACACATTCGCCTCAAAAGTTTGTCACTGTGTCACTGGTGGAGGGCGGATGGTTTTCAAAAGGTACTTCTCGCCTTAGCGCCGCGCGTATTGGCCTCAAAAGCTTGCAACCGTTTCACGGATGGAGGGCGGGCCGTTTTTCCCCAATTGGTCTTGGCTACGGGGTACTTGGTCAAGGATTGGTCTCTCGGGGTGCTACTTTGCTCGTTCATCGGAAGTTCTTCGGAAGTTTCTCGGGCTCATCGGGTTCCCCGCCCTCGGTGCCTCGGGGTGCCGTTCTTCGGGGGTTCCTCGGGCTCCTCGGGTTCCCCGCCCTCGGTGCCTCGGGGGGTTACTTTGCCCGTTCCTCGGAGCTTCATCGGGTTCCTCGGAGGGTCCTCGGGTGCCGTGGAGGTTCCTCGAATTCCTGGGGTTCCTCGGTTTCCGATCGCAATGCCAACCCATGCAAAGGCCAAGCAATGCCAAGCAAAGCAATGCCAAGCAATGCGGCCAGCGATGCGCCCATGCAATTGGCTTCGCCAAATTGGGGTCGCGCCGGGTTCATCAAAATGAGATTCTCGCCCTAGCGCCACGCACAGGCGTCTCAAAACTCTCGCCTTGGCGCCTGGCGCATTCGGCTCAAAAATCAGTAACCGTTACGCGGATAGAGGGCGGGTGGTCTTAATAATGTGGCTCTCGCCTGGGCGCCGTGCACATCCATCTTAAAAGCTTACAGCGGCTTCAAATATTGCGTTTCTCGCCTCGGCGCCGCGTGCCTTCGCTTCAAATCATCGCATCAACTTTCAAGGATTCGTCTGGTTCAACACCTGGGAACGGTGTTCTGGCGGTCATTTTCTCAACGCGAACCGAACTGAACCGGTCGTCATCGACACTCGAACAGAACGGAACCAGCCGAAGCTCCTGTCCGAACCAGACGACGACGAGCACGACGAATGCGACTGGTACGACGAGCAGAAAAAGCACGACGAACACGACGAGTGCGACGAGGCCTGCGACGACGAATACGACGAGTACGACGGGCATGGCAAGCGCGACCTGAACCTTCCCGGGGCCTCGGTGCCCCCCCGCGGGTGCCCTCTCGGATAACCCCCTCGGATGCCCTCCATCCGATGTCCTCCATCGGATGCCCCTCTTTTGTGCACCCCTCCCCTCCTCAGATCCCCTCTCGGGTGCCCCCCTCGGGTGCCCACCCCTGGGAAGTACCCTCTCGGGTTCCCCCCTCGGACGCCCCCCTCGGGTTAACCCCCCTCGGATGCCCCCCTCGGGTGCCCCCCTCGACGGCCCCCTCGGGTGCCCCCCTCGAGTGCCGCCCTGGGATGCTTCCCTCGGGTGCCCCCCTCGACGGCCCCGCTCGCCCCCCCTCCCCCCCCCTCCGGGTGCGCAGCTCGGGTGCCCGCCCCTCGGGTGCCCGCCCCTCGGGTGCCCACCCCTCGGGTGCCCGCCCCTCGGGTGCCCCTCCCAGGTGCGTCCCTCGGCCACCCCACCCCTTGGATGACCCCCCCTCCCCCCCTCGGGCGCCTCCCCCTCGGGTGCCTCCCATCGGGTGCCCCCCATCGGGTGCCCCCTCCCATCGGGTGCCCCCCTCGGGGGCCTCCCTCGGGCGCCACCTTCGGGTGCCTCCTTCGGGAGCACCCCTCGGGTGCCCCTCAGGTGCCCCACCTCGGGTGCCCCACTCTCGGCTGGCCCCCTCTCGGGTGGCCCCCTCTCGGGCGGCCCCCTCGAGTGCCTCAATGCAGTGCCCACCTGGGTTGCCCGCCTCGGGTGCCCCCCTCGGACCCTCTCTTCGGGTGCCCCGCCCGGGTGCTCCCCTCGAGTGCCCCTCTCGGGTGCCCCCTTCGGATGACCCCCTCGCGTCAACCCCCTTCGGATGCCCCCCGCTTCGGGTGCCCCCCTCGACGGCCCCCTTCGGGCCACCCCCCCTCGGGTGCCCCCCTCGGATGCCCCCATCGGGTATCCCCCGCTCGGGTGCCCCGTGCCCGCCTCGGGTGCCCCCCTCGGCGTCCCCTCTCTTGGATCCCGCACCAAAGTCGGACCATAGAGGTTGATGGCGATGTCGATGAGAATGACGATGATGGCGATGACAACGGCGGCGACGACGATGACGACGATGGTCATGACAATGATGCTGACTGGGGCCCCCGGTCGATGACCTCAGACTCTCCGACGACTGGCGGTGAGGGCGGAAACGGCGGCGGCAGCGGCGAGGGCGGCGGCGCCAGGACGAGGACGAGGCAGCGACGCCGAGGACGGCCACGGCGGCGGCGACGACGGGGACGAGGCCGAGGCACCGAGGCGCCTGCAAATTTGCGGCGTCGCCGCAGCCGCGGACGGGACGCTCGTGGGGGGCTCGGACCCGACCCGGTCCTCCTCCTCCTCCTCCTCCTCCTCCTCCTCCTCCTCCTCCTCCTCCGCTGCCGCCGGCTGGTCGGTTTTGCCCGAAGCCTGGCTGCCGAACACCTCCCTCCAGCTCCTCCGCGCCAAGGCATCTCGGGAACGCTGGGCTCGTCACATCCGAACCAGACAGACCCGAAAAAACATCTGCGCCGAACCGGGCCGAACCAGACGGCAAAATCAACAACGACGAACCGAACCGAACCGAGCCAGAAAGACCACGACACCGAACCGAACAGGAACGAAGCAGAGGCACTTCGGAACCGAACCGAATCGGAAGATTCCTAGAATCGTCAGGACGCAAAAGTAGCGTTGATTCGCTGTGTTTTGGCACGGGTCAGGATGATGAGAACGCAGCAGCCATGCCTATTTGAGGCTTTGCATTTCCAAGAATGATGTCTTGGCAAGGCTGAGGATTCTCGGACAATTGTCTTTCAATGGGATACTTCACGCAATGACAGTAATCTTGTAATGACATGAGAGAGGATACTGAAGGGACAGTGTATTGAAACATCGTTGATGTGCCTTGGCTTTACACGGGCCCTCCTCTTCCTCCTCCTCATCCTCCTTCTCCTATTCCTTGTCATCGTCATCATCACCACCATCATGATCATCATGACCATGATCATGAACATGATCATCATCATCAGCATCAGCATCATCATCAAAGTCAGCATCAACATCAGCATCATCACCATCACCATCATCATCCTTATCAGCGTCATCATCGTCATCCATATCACCATCATCATTCATCAGCAACATCCTCATCAGCATCGACATAAGCAGAATCAGTATCATCATCACCACCACCACCATCATCATCAGCATCATCATCATCAGCATCATCATCATCGGCAGCCTCACCATTGAACGCACATCATCAGCGGCATCAGTCTTACACTCGTCATCATCAGTATCGCATCGCCATCATCAACATCAACGTCATCAACATAAACGTCGACATCCGCATCAGCATCATGATCGACACAATCATCATTATCGCCACCACCACCACCACCATCATCATCATCAGCAGCAGCATCAACATCAACATCCGCATCATCATCATCATCGTCATCATCAGCATCAGCATCATCATCATCAGCATCGTCATCCTGCTCCTCATCATCCTCATCATCACTCATCCTCATCATCACCACCAACATCATCAGCATCACCATCATCATCAGCATCATCATTGTCATCAGCAGCATAATCCACCTCAGCATAATCAGTATCCTCCTCATCAACATCAGCATCAGCAGCATCATCCCCCTCAGCAACGTCATCAGGATCCTGAGCATCCTCATCATCATCACCATCAGCATCATCTTTTGCATCATCAGCATCATCATCATCCTTATCAGTGTCATCATCATCGGCAGCCTTACCATTGAACGCACGTCATCAGTGGCATCAGTCTCACACTCGTCATCATCAGTATCGAATCGCCATCATCAGCATCAGCATCATCAACATAAACGACAACATCCGCATCAGCATCATAATCGTCGCCATCATCATTATCGCCACCACCATCATCATCATCAACATTATTAACGCAGCATCGGCATCAGCATCCTCATCATCATCATCAGCAGCAGCATCATCAGCTTCATCATCATCAGCATCATCACCATCCTCCTCGTCATCCTGCTCCTCATCATCATCTTCATCATCCTCATCATCATCATTATCATCACCAGCATCATCACCATCACCATCATCATCAGCATCATCATCAGCAGCATCGTCATCATCATCAGCATAATCTACCTCAGCATAATCATCCTCGTCCTCATCAGCGTCAGCATCAGCATCAGCATCATCATCAGCAACATCAGCATCCAGAACATCCTCATCATCATCACCATCAGCATCATCATTGGCAGCATCATCAGCATCCTCATCATAATCATCATCAATAACAACATCCTCAGAATCAACGTCGTCATCATCGACGTCATCGGCATCAGCATCCGCCTCAGCACTCAGACGAGGGCGCTGGCCGAGGCACCAGAGCTGCTCTTCAGCTTGTGAGAATTGTCCTCGCTAGGCCGATGAAGCTGCAGAAGGAGCAAGGAGGCGCAAGACAAGATGCTGGAAGAAGCCTCCCCTCAGACCTGGGCGTTGTGAAAAACGTATGGCGGACGTCCTGGATGTACACCCCTTTCGAACCCTGGACTCTGACGGATCGATCTGGCTCGGGAAAGGACTCAGAAAGAGAAGAAGTCGAGAACTCCGGTCAGAAATGTGTTCCTTTGCTGTAGTGAGGTCGGACTCCCGCGGTATCCCCAATCCGTGTCCACCAGAGGAGGGGGCGAGAAGGAAGAGGAGCAGCAGAAGCGCGTGGAGGATGTAGAGGTTGATGAGGCGCGAGAGGACGGGACAGGGGAGGAAAGAGGAGAGAGGAGGGAGTATGAAGAGGGCCAGGGGGGAGGAGGAAAGAGGGATGATGCGGGGAGGCAGAGCAGAATAGCAGCAGGGTGATGAGGGTGATGGAAAACGAGGAAAGGGGAGCAGGACAGAGGAGTGTGACAAGGAGGTATGGGCAGAAAGGCGTGGACGAAGGAGGAAGAAGAAGGCGAAGGATGGAAAAACTGGAGGAGGCAGGAGCGGGAAGAGGAATGATGAGAGAGGGAAGATGAGGCCGAATAGCTTTCAAGGGTAACACCGATGTTGAGCGCGGCTAGCGCAACAAATCCTATCATACGTCGTATTGCACTTGCGGATCGAACTACAAGTTTCGGCCGACTACAGCTGGATATGGCAAGTTCGTGTCGTGACTTCTCGTTGGTTTCCAGAAAGCGTGGATCGTTCAACCTTGAATGATTCTTCGGAGACCGTTCAACATGTGCCGAATTCAGACCGCTGGTGGCGCCCAAACTTTCACGACCGCGCTGTCGTCGCCGCCGCGTCGAAACGACATGAGCCGATTGCACCCTGGTACGGGGTCACCTTTTACTTTTGCCGGTGTCTGCCGAACTTCCGCCAGCGAGTCCGCCCTGTTTATGCTTCCGCTGCTTACGCGAACGCTCCGCCAGCTTCTGCTGGCGAGATGGCAACCCTTCATTTCCTCGAAGATGAACGTTTTCTTATTCGGTGTTCCGACATTGGGCGGAATGGGTGGAGGGGGGAACTGGCTCTGGACCTCTGCTTAACGCGACTGGTTGCAACAGTGTGTCTTATGGGGGAAACAGGCGCCAAAAAGAGCCAAGATCTACTCCATGGGATGGGGGGCAGGGGGTGCGATGGCCCGCGCCGATCGACAAAACCATGAGAAAACGATCACAAGGCGGGACATGTTTTGTCGCATTGGGCGGCGGGCCATGCCACGCAGCCATGGCGTCTCATGTCTTAAGGCGGTGCTTAACAGCAACAACCCATGCACAAAAAGTATGCACTGGAATGCTCCTGTGAATCCGTGCTGGCTGCACTATCCACTCCCGTAGACGAGCCGCTGATACATCGAAAACCATAGAAAGAACAGCACTAGATTCCAGTGGGAGCGTCTGGCTTCATGGCTGCTGCCGCATTTGTTGCAGTGCGGGGAACAGACGACAACAGAAGAAGTGTAATATCCCAATACCTCGATCACAGCATCAGCAACAGGCAGCGCAGACTGCACGTCCTTTGTGAGGGCAGCCCTCGGTGAAATAAGGACAATTCTTGAACATAAGAAGCACCGCATGCCTCTGCGCAGGCGCAGCACCAAGTGAAGCGTGGACTCCCTCTGGATGTTATGTGCCGCCCACCGCGCCCAGTGTGAGAATGGTGCGCTCCGTCTGTAGCAGCTGCTACGAATCTTAATCTGCTGGCGAGACATGCTGCGTGGCCAGCCGAGGGGGGCTCCCGTTCCTCAGCCTGGCCAGTGCGAACCCTGCTTGGAGACGACCAGTCGCGTTGGGCAAAGGCCCGGGGCGGCCCTGGCATCCTTGACCTTGCTGGCTCCACGGGCGGATGCTGTGTCGGAGCGATGGGGCGCGCCTGTGGGAGTAGGGGCTGCTCGCCGCAGGGGCCATGGCCCCTGCCGTCCGATGCGCCGCTGCTGCCGCCCTCTCTGCTGCTGTCTGCAGTGCCCTGGCCGCCCCACACACGCTGCCAAGGGATTTGAACAATCTTGGAGTTCTTTCGGCGGTGGACAAAACTCCATTTAGTAAACCACCCTTCAGTGAAAACGGCCTAAGACCGAAACCGACGGACCTGGACCCGCAAAAATGACGGCCGCGACGCCCTCGCGCGAACCGAAAACGGTCAATTCACTAATCGACGTGTTAGGGTAGGTCTATCAACCTCCAGTTCTTTGGCCTCCAGATGGCCTCCAATCTGCCACCAAGAGGTCCCGCGGCGGCCTCAGGACGCTTCTAACTTTAAGCCGGGCCTGTCCCCCTACAGGCGGATTTTGGACGAACAATTAAAAATAGTCACAAAATACACCAAAATGGCCAACAAATGATCAAAAAATCGTCCCCATACTATTTTTCTCGCATTTTCGAATATTCCCCATGTAGAGGGAGAGGCCGACTTCATTCTAGCTGGCCAGTGCCTCCCTGGGATCTTCGGCCGCCCCCAAGCAGGCCCCTGAGAAGCCACCAAGATGCCCCCTGAGATCCCCACGACGCCCCCAATGATGCCCTCCAACAGTGAGGAGCCGAACTCTATAAACCGACGCTTTTTCCGGCCCCGCACTGAAATTCGCACGGGAAAGCGGATCCTGGTGTATACGGGGTCCTGGTTTATAATTTGTTCGCTGTTTCCCCGGGAAAACGGGGAAACAAGCAAGTATACACCACACCACCCTGACGTCGTCCCCGACCCTCGAAAAGTCTTAGGATTGAAAGACGGCCCGCCACTTGTCATGTATATGTTCCAGTTTCCGAAACAGTGCCTCCAAGAAGCCACCGAGAAACATTAACAACCCTCTGAGAGACCTCGTGCCAACGACGCAAGCACCGTGCTATCGCTCTTCCTGCCGTTCTGGGATGGTCGTCGGCATTCCCTTGCGCGCTCCTCGGCTCCCTCGGAGCCTTCCTGGGGCCTCCTGATCCGTCTTGAGGATCGGCAAAACCAACATCCCTTGTCTACAATCATCTCGTACGCACCTATCCGAGGGAGTAAACCTCAGAGGCGACTATTGGTGGCCTGGCAAGGGCCCCCAGAGGCCAAGAACTGCCAGAAGCCAGGGGGCGTGATTGCCCTCGATCCTCCTACTCCTCCTCGTCGGCGTCCTCCTCCTCCTTCTCATGCTACTCCTACTCCAGCTTCGCAGTCTGCTCTCCCATCATCCTCGATTGTCCTCAGTCCTCCTCGATCCTCCTGCTCCTTCTCCTCCTCCTCCTCCTCCTCCTCCTCCTCCTCCTCCTCCTCCTCCTCCTCCTTCCTTCTTCCCGACGGCACCGAGGCACGAACGCCGCAGAGAGGCACTGAATGTAAAGGACCAGGGAGGAGGAGGAGTAGGAGGAGTAGGAGGAGGAAATCCCCCTTCTCGATCCCCCCACCTCCTCGATCCTCCCCCTCCTCCTCCTCCTCTTCCTCCTCCTCCTCGATCCACCTTCTCCTTCCTCCTCGGTCCTCCTTGTTCCTTATTCGTCGAACCTCCTCGATCGTCCCTTTCGCTCCTGATGAAGGGCCCCAGGGCAGGGGCCGAGGCGCGCGCGCGCGTCCTCAACGACGGGCTGGAGGTCCCGGTGCGCGCCGTCGTGCGCGCTTCGCGGGCGTCGGGGCGGGGAGGGTCCTCCTGCTCCTCCCTCTTGAGGAGGGGGGAGATGAGGGAGGGAAAGGAGGGACGAGCAGAAGGCAGTGGAGGAGGTTTGGTGGGAGGGCATCTTCCCTCCTCCTCCTCCTCCTCCTCCTCCTCCTGCCTCTTCTCCCTGCGCGGAATATTCCGGTCCCGAACATAAGACTCCCTGCAGGTCGACGCCTCCGGGTTCCTCCCCTTGGGGCCTTTCCCCGGGCCCGCGGGCCCCCTTTTGCTCCTCCACGAAAGGAATACATGTGTGAGCTCCCCCAGATTGCGGAAGAGAAATCGGATGAGACAACTCCCCAGCGGAGAGAGCGTCCGGGCGAGTGAGCGAGTGTGCGTGTGTGGAAGAGAGACACACAGAAAGTATTGAAAAGAGAGAGAGAGAGAGAAAACGAGAGAGAGCGAGCCAGCATGCGTCCAGGTGCGTCACTAGGACGTCGCCAAATTGTGAGAAGGAGGCCGCAACGGCGGCCAGGAAGCGCGGGCACCTCCCGCAGGTACAGTGCCACACACACTCTGCACAAGGATGCTGGCAAGCTGCCATCCGCATGGGCCCCCGGGTGGCCAAGTGTATGGAGCAGGTGCGAGAACCTCCCACAAGTACAATGCCACCACATGCGATGTATCTTTATATATATATATATACAGTGCCACCACATGCTATATATATATATGTGTGTACGTACATATGTATACATGTATATATATATATATATATATCAGAGGTTGGGGGTTGAGTCCAATGTGAAACGGAGACCCCCCCTGCCGGGAAATCGATTTCGGTTTCGGGTTCGTGTCGTGCGTGCCGTGCGTGCGTGCGTGCGGGCGAGGCGAAGCTGCGTGGGTGGGCGAGAGGAAATCTTCCTGTTGCTGGGCCGCGGCCGGACCAAATGATCCTCCTCCGGCGGCCGGTGGCCCGGAATGTCCCGCTAGTGTCCCGCTGGTGTCCCGCTCGAGCGCAAGACCTGCAACCAAGGCAGCATCGGGTGGCGCCAGCAGCAGTCAGGGTGGCACTGCAGCACGCACGTTCGACCACGTGGACTAGCGCTGAGGTGAGGTTCGGGCGATTGATAAGCGCACGCGGGGGCAGCGCTTCACGACAATGTCTAGTGCGCTTCGTCAAAATCGCCACATCACATCACGCTCACGATCACAATCACACTACTCACTAGACTGCGCACCTCAGGCATCGTCAGAACAACAGTCACCACTGATGCCCATTGCTGCCCCCCCAACCTCCTTATCACCCGCAGGGTGGTCGTATAGGAGTGTGTATATATATATATAGTAAGGAAGTTCCCAAGCTAAAAGGAAACAGTGCCGACAAGAAAGAGTGATCCTCGACAACAAAGTCCCACCAGCCCTCTGGGCGAAGGTGGATTAACGAATTCTTTGTTTCCTCTTCCAAACACATCTTCCATTCCAGGAAGTGTACCTCCCCCCTCCCTGGCTTTTTGGGGGGGCGCGATCTGTCAGAGCGCCAAAGATGGCCCAAGACGGCTCCGAGAGGGCCTCGGATTCTCCAAAAAATGGCCTCCAAAATAGATCAGGATAGCGGGCGATGGCTCAAGATAGCTTCCGACATAGCTTTAAGGAGGCCTGGAGATGGTCACAAGACGATTCCAGGTGCCTCGGAGCCTCTTCAGGACGCCCCAAGAAGCCGAAATCCTTCAAATGCCGAGAGCAAATCATTGATTGTCGCCTTCTGACCGTTTCGCTTCCGATGCAAGTTTGAGGCTTCGAGATGGCCCCAATATGGCCCAAGTGAGGCCCAAGAAGGGCCCAAGAGGCCCCCAGACGGCCCCACGGGCGCCCAAGAGCGTCCAACAGGGTCCCAAGAGCGCCCCAAGAGGTCCCAAGAGCGCAGCCCCATAGGGGAAGGGGGGGAGGAGGCAGAAATCGAGGACCCCCCTTTTTGATAGATCGCCTCCAACATGGCCCCGAGAGGGCTCCCAAAGGGAGCCAAGAGGGCCCACACAGGGCCCTAAGACCTCCCAAAAGAGCCCCAAGAGGAACAAAAACACTTCCCAAAAGAGTCCCAAGAGTCCAAGAGGCGATTTTGAGGGCTCTGTCTTCGTCACCGTTGTCCTCCTCCTCCTCCTCGTCATCCTCCTCGTCATCCTCCTCGTCATCCTCCTCCTCGTCCTCGTCCTTGCCCTCGTCGTCTTCTTTCTCCTTTTCCTCCTCGGCCTCGTCGTCGCGGTCGTCGTCGTCCTCTTCCTCCTCCTCCTCCTCCTCCACCTCCTCCCCCTCCTCCTCCTCCTCCGCCTCCTCCTCCTCATCCTCCTCTCCGACTGCGTCGGCTGCTTGGGGTCATCCTTGGGTCATCCTCCTCATCCTCCTCCTTGCCTCGCCCCCACGCGGGCCCCAGGGATGGCCCGAAGAGGCCCTCCAGGGCCTCCCCTGTCCTTCCCCTTTCTTCCTTGTTGCCCGCTTCATGGGCAGAGTTTGCGAATGGGCTGGCGGGGGTACTTTTTTGGTCGCAGCCACCAGCGAGCGCGCAAGCGGCGAGAGGAGTTGTCCGGGCCGACGGGCAACCCTTATTAGCTACTGAGCGCAGCACGAGCCGGCTGGGCCAGTCTACAAACGCGGCAGCTGGGGCAGCGGCTGCGGGGGGCTGGCAGGCTGAACTGAAACGCCCAGGAAGCTCGAGCAACGTGCAGCCCTGCGGCAAAATGCCAGGGAATTCTGTGTTACGCGCTGTGGTGGCCAGACGTGGTAAGCGATGGGCCGTCGCCGGTGGGGCGCCAAGCCCAAGCCGCGCCAACGGCGTGTGCGCGCCAGCTGGCTAGTGGGGGCACGCGAAGCGTGAAAAATTTGCTGCATCCTTCCCACAGGGGGGACCCTGGAAGCTTTCTGGAGGACCCGTCGCCAGGCCCAGAAAGGGCACCACCAGGAGGGCCCGAGACGGCGCGAAAGGGGGCCGGCCTCGGACCCGGACCCCCTCCCCCCCCGCAGCAAACCCTCCAATCGGGTGTCCCCAAGCGGTGTGGTGACAATCCGCGCGGTGCCCATGAAATCCGCGAAGGCCTCACCGCACGGTCCGTCACAGCACGGTTTTAGGACCATGGAGGCCCCGCTTGCCCGAGACGCCCTCGGAGAACGGCCCGAGCCGAGTCCCCGAACCCGTGCGGCGACCCCGAATCCCCACTGACTCCCCACACGGTGTGGTCACCACATTGCGTGGGTCGGGTATTGGCAGGACTGGGTTTACTCAGACCTGGCTTACTGGTTTGTGCTTGTGGACGCTAAGAAAAACTGCCGCTACCCGAAAAACACAAGCCACGGAAGACAATGTTCGGTGGCTGCGGGGCCCGGCTCCCCTTACCCAGGGCCCTGGCGACACCCGATTGGGGGCCCCCGATCCAAGCCCGAGGCAAGGCTTAAGGCCTCCTAGGTGCGGTCCGAATACATGGGGTCGGGGGATCGCGCCGCAGTGCTGATACATCGGTGATAAATCGCCGATGCATCCGCGATGCATCGGCGACATCGTAGATGTATCGTCGACGTCGGCGTGGAGCAACATGGATCGAGCTGCATCGGCGATGCATCGACGATGCGGCGCGATCCTCCGACCCCATTTACTCCGACCCCATTTAGGAGGCTCAGAGATTGGGGGCCCAAGATGCACCCGAGGCCAGGCCTCGCCGAGAGGTGGGGAGCCCACAAATGACGTACGCGCCCAAACGCGTACATGAAGACGGCCCCACAGTCTGCAGGAACAGCCTTGTAATGCAAACGTTCGCGCAATGCGTGCTGCGTCCTCATGTCGCTCCTGACAAACGAAGCCCGAGACCAGGCTTAGGACGGGAATGTCCTCCTACAGAGGGATTTTGGACAAAAAATGTAAGTAGCCAAAAAAATACTCAAACGTAGTCAAACACGGTCAACAAATCGTCTCTGGACTATTCTTAAAATAACTTTTGAAGATTTCCCCCTACAGAGGGACAAACCCGACTTTAAGGCCAGGCCCCGCCAGTGCGCAGAGGTCCCCCAGGTCAGCCAGGCCTTGCAGAATCATGCAAGATCCTGCGGGATCCTGCACCCAAACCCAGGCCAATGCCAAGGATCCTGCAAGATCCTGCGGGATCCTGCGCCCAATCCAGGGTCGGTTTGCCCCTGCCCCTGCAGCATCCTGCAAAATCGGGCGCTCTGGGTGACCCCCGTTTGCATTGACCCCCGTCTCAAGGCTCCCGACACTCGAAGCCCGACTCGGCGGTGGACAAACCTCCCTTTAATGAAAACCTTCCTCTAGTGAAAACTGTTTGGGAACGAAACCGACGGACCTGAACCCGCAAAAATGTCGTCCGCGACGCCCTCTCGCGAATTGAAAACGGCAAATTCCTGAATCGACGCGTCGGTGCGCAAGAGAGGGCCCCCCCCCACCCCTGGGCACGGCTGCCGCGGAGCGGCGCCCGCGCAACGGAGCCCCCCGGCCCTCCACCCGCGGGGCCGCGGGCGAGCAGCCTCCGCGTCGGGTGCGCCGCCGCACGGGCGGGCCAGGCCAGCATGTCCTGGCGGCCGGGAAGCAGAAGAGGGGGGGGGGGCTCGAACCAAACCGCAATGTTCGGTGTCGTTTTGTTGTCCCCGTGTTCCCTCCGTGCTGTTTTCGCCGCGCCCCTGTGCTGCGGGACGAGAGATCAGAACGAGAACGGTCCACGGGATCGCCAAAACACGATTTTGAGCTCGAGCCATGGGCCCTGGGCCGGGGGAAAGGGCGGGGGGGGGGGGCGCCCACCCGCCTCTCGCAAACACGCCTCTCGTCGTCGTCGTATTCGTCGACAATCGTAGTCGCAATCGTCGTCAATCGTACTCGTCGTCGTCGTCGTTCTGTCGGTCGGTCGGTCTCTCTGACAGTTTGAAGGGGGCTGGGCGAAGCTAAGCTCCAGCTCTGTTGCACCGTAGAAACGATAGCCCCAGTAGGAGGGAATGTGCCATCTTAAGCAATAGGAAGATCCCTTGGGTCTCGATAGCGATTGTGCGCCTCGCAATGAGGCGCAGTCAAATTTGGGCGGCTGGCCGCTTGAGCCGACGCGGCCGCGGGCGCGCGCTCGCTTCCACTCCTTACGCCCCTCAGTTCGCTTTAGAGTCGGGGGGGGAGGAGACGAAGCGTGAGCCCGCCCCCCCTATGCAGCAGGCACAGCAGCTAATGCACACGAGGACAGAAAAGGGAGCGGGCCAGGAGGAAGGTGGACCCGCTCGCAAGTTGCCTTGCTTGTACAGTTCTGTACCTGACGTACTCCTCAGGCGGCGTCAGAGCTGGATGTCTGGCCGGCCCGATGTGGAGTATGTCTCTTCAGGTCATGCTTGAAGGCCTGAATGCCTCCCATGACTTGTAGGAGCATTTCTCTGTCGATGCTCCCCTTGGCGTGACCGTCCGCGGTCATATCGCGGGCGTCGCGCCACTGGATGCCGTGCACGAGTCCGCGCTCCATCATCTGTCGTATCCAACTGATGTGTCCTAAAAAGGTACACTCAGTCGGTTTCTTCAAGTCTTTGTTTGACAAGGACTTAAAAACAGACTCAGCATCTATGGTCAAGGTGACCTTGATGCCCAGGCCACCCAACCCAAGTACATATTTCAATTGAGTGGGCGTGAGCGGCCCTGCGTGGAGGTCGTGCAAAGTCACAGCCGCGGGATAACAGTCCTCCAAATTACGGGCTGCTGCTAGTGTCTCTGCTGGATAGCCCGAGCGGACCTGCAAGCGGCGAGACTTGCAGTGCGCATCGATCAAGTGGACGACAGGCTTACCGGATGACGTGTTTCCACGTCGTAGCAGGTTTGTCCCGCGAATACCATAGCCTTTGACGTCGTCGTCGGCGTCTCCACTCAGGCGTCGGTATCCTGAGTCGCTATGCAGGTCGACCTCGCCCGTAGGATTCATCGCCTGGTAGACGGTCTTATTTGGGAGGGCCTGTAGCTTCCTGGTGATCGCGCTCAGTCGTCGCACTTGGATGTTGGTCGATTCTTGGACGCGTTGTAGAGATACAATATGCACCATCAACCACACCTGCGTGATCAATGAATGCGCCAGCGCGCCCCTGAGGCTAACGAACATGTCTGCAACCGTCTTGATTGCCTGAGCGCCAGCGTCGGCGCCGGTAAGTTCAGGATGTTGTATAGGACGGAGCTGATTGATGCATTCATATTGGTCCAAAGTGACATTGCCGTCCCTATCGTTGCGTATATCACAGCAAAGTTGGTGCCTGTGTGCTTGTTGAGTTTACACGTTACCAGAGGTATCTTCTACGCACTTGACATACTTGTCAATGGTGTCCTCAGTGCCGTCCGTCGCAAATTGTTGCTCGTCTCGAGCTCCGCATCGTAGGACGTGGGTCGGAGACCGAAACCTCTGGTGGTCCTTCTGAGCTTCAGTGAGAAAGCCCGTGGTGAGTCTTTGGCGCTCGTGCCTGGTTTCAAAAACTGCAAGCAATGCTTTGACTCATCGCAGTGCTCGAATCCTGGGAGAGTTCGGAGCATTGCGGCCGATCCAGGCGGCAGCGAAAAAACACGCCACACGTTCCTTTTCACCAGGGGACTCAGCAAATTCCTGATAGGTCAGCCCCATCAGACATGCCGTGTTGATGCCGAAGGAAGCAATGGCCCATTGCTTCTTGCACGCGGCCGTGCAGGCGATTAGCCTCTGGCTCGACCGTCGCGCCGTTCCCGAACATGCTTCTACGTCGAAGGCTTCATGGCCCATGAAACCTCGGGGGGGGGGGGGGGGGGGGGGAACGTAGTCTGATGGGGCGTTCCATCTCGCCCCTCTCGTTCTTCGCGACTTTCCTTTTGCGCACGCATCTCGAAGTCATGATGTTCGGCGATTTAGCTATACCTTGCATCTTAAAACAACTATTGCCGAACCATGTCTTGAGTTCAGTGTAGAGGGCCTCCGATACTTTATCGGGGCTCGCCTGGACGTCAGCTTTCGCGAGGAGGTCGCCGTCCTCGACGTCCGCAGCTCGCTTTGCAGCGGCGGTTGCGTATACTCGCACAGTGGTCACTCGGTCGGCATCTAGTATCATGCATTGTTGTTCGGACAGGACTACCTCTGACATTTCTGCCGTAAAGCAGCGTTCAACATATCGACCATTTTCATCTGAGTCCAGTCCGTATTTGTCGTCTTCGACCATGGTGCACATTGGGACGTAGTACGCATCCTCGGTGTCGGAGTCGCGAGTGCGCCCCCACTTCGGCGGGTGCCCCCGCTGTTCATCCGCTGCAGGGATCAGCACACTTTGATCTGGAACCATGTGTAGGCATGGTAAAGAGGTCCTCTGGTGGAGTTGCCCCCAGCAGTTCCCTTTCCCCTTGTAGTTCTGCATGCCGCACTTCCATAACATGTGACTCGATTTCGGCCTCTGGTTCTTCGTAAATCCTAGGAAACCGCCCATCATCATGTGGTGGTTCGGCTACTGAGGCTTCTCTTGTGCATCCCTCCGGTGTCGGTGCACCCGCCAAGTCATCAAATTCTGACATGTCCTGATCATCCTGCTTGAGGCTTAATGGACTTCAGGCATTGGATAATTCTTGAATGTGCTGATCCGGTTAAATCATGTATATTCAGAGCAGCACCCTCTGCTTCATAATAATGGAATCCTGGATTCACGTCGTTGTCGTAGTGGATCAATGCGCGGCTGTCTGCGCAAGTAACCGGAGGCAACTTATGAATGCTCTTAGCTAGCCTGACCGAAACTACATTCTCAACGCGGAAGAAGTTTCTGATAGGGTACTGTATCGCTAGATGTACCTTAGGGGATAGACGGCTGGCACAAGGCATCTGATGCGCCCGCTTCTTGGTCGGCACGTAGCCAATGGTCTGCGCAGGTCTCCCCGCTGATAAGCTGGCCACGACTGTCAACGCTGTGCGTAGCGCAGCGCTGTCGGAGCCAATCTCTCGGGCTATCAGTGCTTCAATATATAGTGAGTGCCTTGCATCGCCGTATTGCACTTGAACATCTCGATTGCCCACTCGGATGATGATGCGACCCCTTTCGGGGTCATCCTTTACATCTGAGAGCGGGCCATTCCAGCCTCCCCAGTCATCCTCCGTGGTCGTGGGGCGATGATAATCGACCAAGTCGCCTTCATCATAATAATGCTGACCAAAAATAATCGTTTTGGTGCGTAAAGCACGATTGGTCTTGGCTACTGCTGTGGCCTGTATGATGGCTTCCATAGATACCCTGCGCATCGTCTGCTCACAAGAATGGTCCGACGTGTCTGTCGGTTGCTCGTGGCCCAGGACAGGTAGGTCAGGGGGCATTGCTGGTTGCCGTCCAAACAGCGCGTGATATGGCGACACATCGTCATAGGAGGTGAACGCGTTGGCGGCGAACAAGGCCTCGTGCAGTAGTCGGGTAAACACAAGAGGTAGATCAAACCCATTGAGTTCAGCTCCCATGACGTGAAGTAGATGACGTAGGATGCCAGTTCTGCCTTGGATCGTTGTAGCGTGCTGTCCACGCGCACGTATCCTAAGTTCAATGCCTTTTGCCTTGGGGACTGCTTTCGCATATCGTTGGTAAGGGCACCGCCTCCGTCGGAGTACAGTACCTTTGCAGGTCCAAGCTGCATCCAGCACTGGTGATATGGTCCAGGATACTTGTCATGGTCTTGTCTGGTATCTCAAACCAGATATGATATCGTATACAGAGATCGATGATATGGAAGATGATGTGTTCTTGTTTGTAGAACATCAGATCGCATTCCACTTCTTCATTAAATTTGCCCGGTAGTGCGTTAGAGGGCATAGCAGCATGCCCAGGCTTGTCCCAAGCTCTGCGCTCCAGACATGTGTCGCAGACAACTCTAATCAGGTTGAATCTGACACTGTCCAGACCTATCTTGCTTAAGATGAGACTCAACTTAGGCTCTTTCGCATGGAACCAACGCAAGCGCAGCTTCCGCAATTCGCGCGTTATCACGCTCAGAACAAAGCCTCGTAAATGTTGTAAACTGGTTCGTACATCGAACCGTGACCAGTCTGGTAGTCGTGGTCGCGCAGCAGGGTTACCCGCTGGTGGCGGAGGGGGTGCTTCTCAACCTTGTTGTCGACCATGTCTGACTCTAACCTGTGGTAGTCGGGGATGGCCATCCGAACTACCAGCTCCACTCGAAGCAGGCTGCCCTGCAGCAGGTTCAGCAGCATGTCTGCCTGCAGAAATGTCGTGGCTGCTTTCACCCGCTGTAGGTCCAGCTCTTGAGCCGGGTCTTGGCGCTCTTTGCCGCGTGAGTGATGATGCGGCTGGCGCCTCGGGCGGCGGTGCTGCTGGCTCAGCAGGAGCTGGCGGTGCAGGCCCTGGTGCCGGTTCGGCAGGAACCGGTGGTATGTGTCAATGATTGTCGGGCAGCCTCCAAGGCGTGGCAAATTCGCATTTGCCAAGTGTTAGTGCGTCTCCAGGCTTGTTCTTACCGTAGCTCATATTACAGCTCGGACGCCCCCAATGGCAGTCGTCTTCATCGCACCACCTGCAATGTCTCGGATCTCTATCACGACAGGGAGAATGCATG